CTTATGATTTCATTATTTGATTTTGCTTTAGTCACTTGAATTGATTGCACTTGTTCGAAATCTGCCTGTTTAACGTTAATGTAAACACCACCCGTGAATAACATGTAACTACGGATTGCTCGCGACCAACTGAAGCATTACCTTTTTAATCTGCATATTGTACTTGTAAACTTATGTGTGGTTTATAATTCCAAAAAGCATGACTAATTAAATAACGAAATACGATTTCAAGTTCAAAAATGAATGAGCTTTAACCTTACCGATAATTGGTGAAAGTCCACGCACAAGAGAACCATGAGAAGGAGGTACAGGATGAACTCGGACACCACGATGGAGAACACTACGGAGTTGTCGCTCAGGTGGAGGAAGTTCTTGAACGCGTTGATGAAGTTGATGGAGTTGGGGAGTTGAAGAGTCATGGTCCCTACAGAGACCTTCCACTCGGTCATGGGGCACGTGCAGCTGATGACCCCGTCCTCGAGATCAATGTCAGCCTGTCGCGGGTTCAAAGGTTCACGATAAATATATATGGCGGTAGAATTATCTAGACAACACACTGATAGATGTTTTGTTCAGGTTATGGTTAAAACCTCTGCCTGGTGGTGCTGCATATTCTGATATACTGCAGTCTTGATGTCAAAAGTTGATGAGTGAGTATTGTCTCTTGGTTGCTTCTATTTTAGATCTCTTTTAGATGTTATAGATTCCATTTGAAACCAGTTTTGTTATGTCCGTATTTTCTTACAATTTATTTCAGGAGTTGTCCGTATGAGGGGATTCAGATATACAAAAAGAATATGCCTATTACAGATAAACATGCACTGAATACCGCTGTTTCAGCACGGGGCTTTTTTTTTTACGCATTCAATCCTAATCTTTGCAGCAACTGACCAATTACCCTCTACCTTGTCGCCGGTCATCTATCAGGTTTGGAGACTATATAGGTAGGTTATTAATAATCAACAGTAGCATTGCACTTTTCATTACATTTAACTGGATAGACTTACATCGCAGTCCTCCAGCCCCCATTGGTTCGTATCGTCATCCCAAGATGAGCAGCCCACAGCTGACATCGACAGGGCGTAGTTTTCTCTGCTCAGGATCTGAACGGTAGGCTGCGGTTGATGACTTTGGGCGGAGATCGCCGGTCCTGGGAAGTTTAGATTTAAATCATTTTTTTTGCTCAAGAACAGTTACTGGTTTCGAAAACAAAGTGTTGTATGGATATATTACTGACGGATCAAAGTCTGATAAGAGAATACCGACTAATTACCTAAAACTAGTTGGATCTTCATGTCGATTCTAAGTAATGCAGTATTGAACATGGTAAAACGTGTAAGGCAGAGCGTTCTATAAGACTAAAGGTTTGTTACCACAAACCATTGCATCTAATGTACGTATAAAGCCGTTACCGTAGTGACAATTTGGACAAATAATTTTTTTTCAAATTTTTTTCAAGGTACATTACGTATGTTTACTTATAGTATAAGGAACTCACCTAACTTCTGTACTCCTACATACAAAGGCCCGCCATGGTCAGTTGTGTTGGGAATGAAGGATGCTGAAAAATTCGTCCCCTTGAGCCAGGCCTCGTATCCGTCTTCTTTTATAACTATTTTCTCTCCATACTTTTCTGGAGTTGGAGGAGAGCCGTAAGAGATGTACACGTGAAATGTCGCTTCTACATCCCACCAGTTCATACGGATAACCGGGATGACGTTATCAGCTGGAACATTGAAGGCGTGGTACGTCATAGTTGTTCCGTTAGTGTTCTCCTCCGCCGTGTTTGGACTTTCTGTCGTGACGTGTGATGACCGACTGCCTGGCTGTAGTTTATCATATGACGGTACAAATGGCATATCCAGTTTTATCTTCCTGGTTTTCATAAGGTTTCTAGTATTCTTTGCATTGATTGTCAGAAACACCACTGACGACGAGATATTTTGTCCTCCTGTCGACTTAGTCCAAGAATATGGGTTCTTCCTGAAAACTGTCATCTGAAAAACACATGGTACATCTTATCGTTTAGTAATTTAAACGATGCAGGATCTTAAATTGGCTTGGAACCGTGATCGTTGTCTCGATTGTACCACTTTATCTTCAACGAACTTAACAATCCTGTTTTGTTTTGCGCAGCAAAGTCGTAGTCTTGTGAGATTGACTGACAGTAGTAAATAGTAGTAGTAGTAGTAGTAGTAGTAGTAGTATACTTAACGACTAAAAATACCAGAAGAACGACAATAGGCATTGTATTTTGCGTATTTTTTACCTTGATGTCCAACATATATTGTGCATTGGTTCTATTTGTCGGGGGGAAATATGCCACAATATCCCCGGAGCCAATGTGGAGGTCATTGTCAGAGGGAAATCTTGCCACATCCAAAGCGACGTTTTCTGTTCTAAAGCTTGATTGATATTCTACTTCCTCGGGCTGCAACGCCAGCAGTGTGTCGGCTGCCTGGTCCAGAGATGCTACAATGGACTGCGAGGCTTCTTGTTGCTTATTTAAATACAAATATAAAACGTTACTAGTGTTCAAATGGGTTTTCCCGAATTGCTTTGAATACATCGGAATATCGAATGCGAAATTTAATCAATTAGCGAAATATTATCAGTAATTTGATTTATTTTCAAATTGGCATTTTGTTATAATCCTTACCATGTCTTCCTTTTCCTTCTTCTTCTCTTTTAACACCTTCAGCTGCTGCCTCGGGGAGAGATCGGTGGCACTCGTGTGGATAAGGTCATTTTCTAATGCATTATCGGAGTCACTTGCATGTTGCATTTTCTGTTTAGGTAACACATCGATGACTGCTGAAACCGTCTGCACGAAGGCTGAAAAGGAAAGAAAATCAATAAAGCCATTGCTTTGAAGGTAACTCATTAAATTAGTAGAGTGGAGCAGAGTTGAGTAAAATATAGAATAATATAGTATTATAGATGAGTGGAGTAAAAAAAGGGTACAGCTTAAAAGGTGAGATGAAGCAAGGAAAGTAACTATTCTATTAATTGCTCTTGCTGACAAACGGCCAAGGTATGGTATATTTAATAAAATAAGACTATATCATGATCTGTGCATTGTAAACCCAAAACAAAAGTTTCTTACCATCGACTATGGTCTCCATATCCTCTATCGAAATGCCCTGTAATCCCCGAGTCGCAGAGGCAAGCTTTTCTATAATTCCGGTCGTGGTTTTCTAGTATGAATGCGAAAGATTATAAATAAAATAAAAAATGATAACCACTGAGTATATTACCATATGCAATGCTTAGCACACATTATAATACGGACGGGTACAGCCAGTATACTAACGGGAACACACGGATTTTAAAAATCCTAGTAAGATTGGGGTTTTTAGGGAACTTATTGGACCATACGAGGTAAACTTCAGCTCACCAACACTGACGGTGATATTTCTGATTCGGATGCATCAGCAAGCTTGACGTTGTCACTGATGTTGGACGTCACTTCAAGAATGTTTTCCGCTTCCAACGTTTCCGGTAAACTTTGGTCTAGGCCTTGTACCAGCTTCTGAAGCTGTGATTTAATTAAAGTATTGGTGTTGTGTTATATTTTAATAGGAATAGGAAAGCGAGGTGCGTCTTGAAAAAAACTCTATGTGCAGATGTCACTAAGTCTATGTAAATATATTTGGTGTTTTAATCCCAAACCGAAATTCTGCACACCTTTTCATCCGGATCCTCTGTGGTCCGTTCGGGAGATGTTGTGTATTTGTTTATATCTGAAATTCAGACGCAAATAGTACTGTACCTTAATCAATTCATCTAAAAATATAAAAACGGTATGTAGGCATTAAAATAATACATGTACAGTACACAATCCAGCGTTAGTATTATATTGTAAAACTCAAAACTCAACAATGTACGTACCCGGAGTCGATGTCTGTGAGACACTGGGAGGCTCCGTTGATCTACCAGGGGAAGTCACTGCTAACGAAAGAAACATACCGTTATATAAATCATGGAAACTCACGTTATCAACCGTCAATAAAAATGTTCAACAGGCTATATTCCATCTTACTTTATGTCACCAAGAGAAATATCACAATATTTCATACCTTTTTATACGTCTTGGATGTTTTAGGGGCTCATAATACACCGTAACGAAGGGATTTCTGCTGTATGCTAACGTCACGTTTATGTCATGATTAACATGGTCACTAGATAATATTTACTGAACTCTTACCGTAGTCTGTGGTAGTCCATTTGCCCGTTATTGTTGTTTCTTCTTTAGGCATAGCAAACGGCGACGGGGTATTGGTTGATTTAGAAGTCGTTCCTAGAAAAATATTAAACATAAACAGATTATACTCTTAAGTTATTTTCTTTTCATATTGATATTGTGTTTTATATTTTTTTCATTATGAGATTCCCGAGACAGTCTGTTTCATAAGAAACATTTCCAGGCAAAGGTAATCTAAATTTGAAAAAAAAAATGTTGTCCTAAAAATCAACAAAGATAAGGCATTAGCAAAGTAGAAACCTTTAAGTGTTAATGGCAAATATTCCTACAATAGTAGAATTCTAATATATTCGGCATTTTTTGAAGGTATGACGATTTGTTGTATTTTTACACTGGCTAATTCAAACAACTTTGTAAATACATGTAACAACGTTAACCACATTGGTAGTAATAAAAACTTAATTTGAATGTACTTTCAAATTTCCAACTGTACACGTTGCTATCACTTGCTGTTGTAGACTCTTTCCATAACGAAGAAGTGGTCGAAGTCGTCCTCATTCTATCCGATGTAGTGCTAACCTCAATTGGTTCTATAGATCCTTCAGGAAAAACGGATATCAAAGTGTTAAAGCGTTACAATCCCCGTCCTTTGAAAATAAATAATAAACCGATGTGGACAAAAAACAAACTTCAATACATAATGTTTCAAAGTACATGAAATCATTTAAGTGCATAAAATACATAGGATTTTAATACGTTCTATTCTATGGAGGAAATATAGCAATAAAATGTCACTTTTATCATACGCTACGCATAACTGTATCTATAGCAAAACATACTATACCTGTGCTGCTTGAATAAGTGATGTCCACGCTACGACCATACTTGCTGAAGGCCCCCATTTTGAAGACGTAGGTCGTTTCTGGTACAAGATCCGTGACGTTATAGGACATTGTGTGCCCCTCGAGTCTAACATGGAAACGTTGCCATTAGACACCGATTTAGTAAATTACGCAGTACATAAATATATACGGTTTAACAGTTTAGCAGGTTTTTAACTATGCCAAATGATATTTTATAAGTTATAATTTATAATATTTAGGATAAACTACGTACAATACGATGCATCTTGCATCAGTAATTACGAAAACATTTTTATAATTACTTTGACAGTAACCATATCCAACGAAGAAACCTACATTGATTTGCATTGTATTTAGATAACATGAAACATATTATATTTGTGTATGCTCTAATAGTGTCTACATACGGTCTTAATTTTTTTTGCAAAGAATAGTCTATTTATAATACAGCAAGAGGCATTTTGCAATGCTAAAAAAGTAAAACACGGTAATCACATCCAAAAATGGAAACGAAAACAATTTAAAAAAAAGATTTTGATAATATGAAACTTATTATTTATGGTCTAATAGTCTTGACATACTATGCTTTTATGTATTTTTTTTACCCCAGGAATGCTCTTGTACTGCCATATTGGTCTGAAATCTCCAAGTTGTAGGATAAAATATTGGCTACAGGCGGGGTCCATTCCAGGAACAGCCAGGTCGTGGAGGACTTGGTGACGTTAAGACGTGAGGGTGGATCTGTGTCTAAGGTATATAATTATAAAGCAAGAACATCAAAGAATTAAACAAATCCAAAAGTGATAAAAATTAAATGTCATGTTTGATACAACGAATGTAATGAATTGCCCCCCCCCCTTATACATAAAAGGCTTCAGAAACAGCTGAGTACTTTTGGAAAAAAATTACAATCTTGATTTCATAATTTTTGTATTTTTGTATTTTGTATTTCTAGTAACGGACCTCTGCCGTACCACGTACCTGTAATAACACTTGTACTGACGGCGAGGCTCCTCCCTAACCTGCTTACGGCCACCAAGTCAATGTCATACTGAGAACCAGGAACCAGACCTGTCAGTTTACAGCTGTCTACATCCCCTGGTTCCATTACGGAAGTACTTCTTCCATTTCCTGTGTACGTTATGTTGTATGCTGTGATCACAGCTTCAGGTGGTGACCAGGAGATTATCACAGTGTTGGTTGTTTTCTGTTTAACGTACAGTGCCGTTGGACTAGGCGTTTCTGGGGATAAAGGGCACAGAGTGTTTACTTTACAAAATATCCACATTAGAAAAAAAAACATTTTAATGCAAATCGTCGAATTTTTAACGACAAGAAAACTGGTTTTCAATAATATGGAGATATCGAGACCCATTCTACATCTCTACGTATTGTATGTTAGTTGTAAGTTAGTTGTAAGGCTATAGTGGGGCAACCCAATACCCATAAACTAGCAACGAATGGTGGACCCCAGTATGGGACGCCAGGGGGCAGTGACTTCATACTTTCCAAGCAGAGGTTTGGGTTTTGGGGGTATATTTAGTGTGTTTTTAGGCTTTTTATCGGGGTTTCTCTTTTGCACTGAATTTTTCCCAACAAACCCAACCTCTGCCGGCACTCACAACGGAGCGGGGCAAACCTATTCAAGAAAGGTGACAGTGCTCCTACCCAGGAACCATCAAATTATCATTAGGGATATCCATTTTACTGTGGTGGATTATTACACATCCAGCCAGTCAGAAAGGCATTCATTGGGCCACGTGCCTCCTGCTGACTGTGCCTATGCATGCGTCTGGTTCACACCTCCTTGCAGAACGACTAATGTGTTGAAGTGATTAAGTTTATGGCACATTGAAGCTTTCGACTGCCGGCAGAGGTTGGGTTTGATAGGAAAAATATTCAGTGGAAAAGAGAAAACCCGTTCTAAAAAGAGGCCCTTTTGAGTTGGGCTGGAAAATAACGGTATGGGGACGAGATTTGGTGTGTGTCTGACTGATTCTTGGTGTCCAAGCGCGGATCTCATAACGGAAATACAACTTACCCTTACTTGTTACCGCAATAATGTTCACCGCTGGTCCCTCGTTGTACCTGTTGATGCTTGTGGCTGATATCACATACTCTGTGGCAGGGCTGAGGTCACTAAAAGTCAGATCTGTTTGACCTGTGGGCACGAATTGTGTGAACAGGCTCCCTGCTATATCACTCCGCCCTATCCACATCCTGTAGCCAATAGCGAGTGAGTTGGTCCTCTGTATCCACGAAACTGTGATGGACGTTTCTGTGATGTCTTTCACCCTAAAGTCCTCAGGTGGCGGCGTCACTATTATATGAATGAACATCATATTATGAAAGGTAGAATACTTGAAGAGCAAAGGTGTAAACAATTGACACGTTAGATCGCTGAAGTATACTCTGGAAGTAAAATAAAATAAATGCTGCAATCATACTCACATGTTACACAGGTTACCCCAACAGGCAAACTCTCCTTATACATCCCAACAGCTACAAGCGTCACGCTGTATTCCCGGTCAGCTAGGACATGCTGGAGTATCTGTTCCTCAGTTTCCGGACCAGCGTCTGTCAGGTACACTTCTGCAGGGCTGTCACCGACGCTAGTGTAGTTCATTCTGTATCCGATAAGGGGCGCTCTCGGCTTCACCCAGCTGATGGTCAGTGAAGTATAAGTCGCTGCTGAGCAGGTGAGGAACTGTGGACTGTCCGTTTCTGAAACACACACAGGGAAATGTTTGACTGTGTTCACTACGTCTCATTTAAGCTACTTAGTAAAAAAAACTCGTTTCAAATGCCTTTATTACACGTTATATTCAATTTATATTTTGACTTCAGTTCCATAAATGTTGTACTTTTTGTCTATAATACATAATGTCCAAAATTTAAAACAATTTAATGAAATTTTCACCGGTTAAGCATTGGATTGTGACGCCAGAGCTTTCAAATGGGGACGCAACATTGAAAACTGTCACGATGTACTTGGATCCACTTTTTAAAGCGTCAATGGTGACGTTTGACAATACCGCGTTCTTTCTTCCAATGACGTTAACAACTCATGGGGTTCCACATCATCTGATATGTGCTGATACCAAATATGATATCCCGTGAGACAGCTCGAACAGTACAGCCAATGCAGCGAAAAGGAGTCCGTAGTCTCCGAGCTGCATGTCAAGTTCTCTGGGGGGGAGTGCTATATGGTATTGCAAAGGACAAAAAAAAACACAGAGAAAGAATTTAAAAAAAACAACATTTGTACAAAAATGAACATTTTTAGCCTAAAGAAACGGTCAGAGACAAAGCATTTCAATCATAAAATATGGAAACAAAGGGACAGTTAACTTGACACTTAACGACGCCTAAGACAATTTTAAGATCATTATCTTTTCTACATCTACAAAATACTATATCATCTAATGAAAATATATTAACCACATATTGCAAAATATTCAAAGTCAAAATAAACA